GCGCTTGCTCAGGATGGGAGACAGCGACGAAATGAAGATTCAACGAGTCTGCTGGCTCCCTTAGAGAACTTTACTATTTTGTTTTAAATAAATGTGAATGTTTCTGTAAAGTGCCCTGAGACAACTTTGTTTGAACTGGCGCTATATAAATAAACTGAATTGAATTGAATTTAAAGTTAAGCCTAATATTCTCTTTGAATGAAAATGTTAAAGGTGACCAGATCGTCAAAGGGAACAACACAAGACGTATTTCTTTCATACTCACGTACATCTCCTTGGCAAATACTACTTCATCGTTTCTTTTTCTAAGTTTTTGTTTAAAGGAAAAATGCTGCTGTTTTCTCCTCCTAAAGGTTGTCATTCAGGGAGATTCTGGAGCTTTTCTTCTGCTCAAGGAGTTCAAGTACAGCTGCATAAAGCAATGGTTCAGCTTTTTTTATATATTTTTTTTTAAGTGGGCTTCTGTGGAAAGGTTATGAACAATTAATGGGGCTATAGTTCTTTCAACAACCTCAGTTTATTTAAGTTTATTAAGTCAGATTTATTCAAAATGAACAAAGCATATTTTCAGGTTCATGGCTTTTGAAACTACATTTTGGTAAATCATTCTGATTTTAACAGAGTCTGAGTTTCTTTATTGTCATTCATCATATATCATATATTTAACATATCATCCTGATTTTATGAGAGAGATTACATAATTTCTCGGGATAGTTCTTAGGAAATTGGTTTGAATCCTAGTTTTAACGTATTCTAATGAGGATTTCTTGACATTTTTAAAGGAGGAAACATCAAGGCACATTTGGATATTGGGCTTTCACATGCGACATTGAAAATGGCTTCTCTAGTATATAGATGATATTTATTCATCATATATTTATTAAGACATTTTATTTAAAAAAAAAAAAAGAAAGAAGAAGATGTTTATTTTTTAAAAATCCAATTACTGCAAATTTTTCTACCAATGCTGCCTAATCCTTGGTTTGGAGCGATGGGTCACATTTTTTCCAAACTGAGTTCATCTAAAGATTTATCTGCAACAGGTAAGCTACTAACTGTTTATTACCTTCGCTCAAAACACCAGAAGTTTTCCTCAAAAAAACTTAACTATCCCTTTAAGTTCCAGTAAACTCTCCAGCTCACACTCCATCACTATTTTGTTGTAAAGGCTGTTTCCTCTTCACTTTTTCATAGATATCGTGACGCTTTCACGCACAGTGTTGTTTTTAATTGAAACAATTCTTTCCTTCATTAGTAAAATGATCCTCATGCCACTTGCTGCACATTACAAGCCTGAAGCTGAATCCTCCGCTGCACTTATACTGATGTTTTTCTTTTAAATTTGCTGCTTTGTAACAACCTAATTACACTCATTACAACCAAATGTGTGTGTTAACTGCACTCACATGTGCCTCGTCTTAGTTTGCAAACTTCATTAGCTTTAAAAGTTAGAGGGCCTTATTGATGGTGATTGTAGGGACATGCTTTAAAGAGTTGGGCTTTAATAAAGCATCATTATTGTAAGCAAGCCTTGAGAACAATAGGGAGGTGTGTGACCTCAGCAACAGCAAAATAAAATAAAATAAATAATTTTTAAAAAGTATTTTTGTTGTTTTAGTGTTTTCTCACTAAACAATTTGATGCATGAATAAATCTGACCTGGGTTTTTCACATTCCTATAGTTGGAGGTGAGATAAGTAAAAAATAAAATGTCATAGTCTTTTCCCTTGAGTTCTAAAAGTTTTTAATTTTTTTGTTAAATTTGCAAACATTTCTTTAAAATGCTTGCAATAAAAATCTACTAATTTAAAAAAAAAAATTAAGGATTCTGCATAGAAAGGCTCCTGAGCTCTTCTGTGGTGCAAACCATTCTTCCATCAGTTAGAGAAGCAGAGCGGAAAAATCTGACTTCAGCGTTTTAAACAAGCCAAAAGTTCGGCTCATCAAAGCTTATCATCATTGGACTTTCTTGTTGCCATGGCAGCTGCATCTTTCTACCAATATACCCTCTCACTGTGAATAGACATGATGAAGGTTTGCTTGATTTTTCTTTGTAGGTTTTATCTTGAAAGGTTCTAAAGAAATGTATTTTTACTTAATTTTACTTTGTGCACTTTCATTCAGATTAGGGAAGCCACAGTCTGCAGCTTTCGACTGTTGTTTCTAAATAAAAGTTCATATAAAAAGTTTTAATAGTTCACTGCTTTTTTTTTTTTTCTAAAGCAAACTAGTTTACAAAAACATGTTGAGGTGAGCTGCACAAGGAAGTGCCGTGTTTTTCTTAAACACGTTTAACAATAGAGATATTCTGGACACAAAAATATACAGTATATGTGCTGCGCACATCTGTGTATCTGTGGATTTTTACTGACTTTGAAGCAACATTAAATTCTAATAAAGCAAAACACCAACAAACAAACAAACAAACAAAAACTTCAGTTTAAGTCACAGTTTAGTTTGATAAAATGTTGCATGAATTGATTTTATTAGATTTCCAACAAGCTGTCAGATTTACTGCTAAAAAATGTCTACAACCAAATCTGCCACAGCTCAGACTTTCAGATGAAAATGGTTATATTGTTTAAATTATGGAGATAAAAATGGCTCAAACACTATCCTAAATATATTAAATAAATCACATTATTATGTAATGAAAAAAGGGTTGGCTAATATGGTTATTAATTCCTCTATAAACACTTTGTTAATCATGAATAACTGCTTATTATGCATTAATTAAGGGTGACAAAGGGACAAAACTGACCAGTTTCTTGCCAAACAGTGAGTCAAATCTGTTCATCTATATATTTCATCTAGAGTTGTTATATTAAACATTTCAGATTAAGTTACTACCTTGTAAGCACAATAAGCATTTGTAAACCTATTTCTTTAGCATAAAATATTGTACTTTATCACTGCATTATAAATATCTACAACTAATTTTATATCCTAAAAACATTAGGTTTATAAATGCTTATTGTGCTCACAAGGTAGTAACTTAGTCTGAAATGTTTAATAGAACAACTCTAGTTGAAATATAAAGATGAACAGATTTGTTTCACTATCTGGCAAGAAACTGGTTAGTTTTGTCTCTGTCACCATTAATTAATGCATAATAAGCAGTTATTAATGATTTATAAAGTGTTTATAGAGGAATTAATAATGTATATACTAACTATTTATTAGCCGTCTATAAGAGGAGTCTTATTGTGAAGTGGTACCAAAAAAAGATACTTAAAACAAGAATACCAATCATTTAGTACATTAGGGATGAACAATGTGTCAAAAAATTTGACATTGCAAAATCTGTTTGGACTAAAATAAATCATGTCAAATGTGTTCATGCTCTTTATGTCAATAATATATTTATTAGCCAATGCCCTGATGTGACTGAGATGAAATGAAAGAGATGCTGAAACATGCAGAGTTGTGAACATCGTCATGATTTTTACAGCTGATATTAATTTATTACAACATTCAACAAAGTCATGCTTTTATGAAACCAAGCAGACGTAATTTTAAAACATAATGTTCCACATGCATCAATGTCAAAACAACCCGCACAGCAAATGTAATATAAATGTTGTATCTGTGCTTTTTGTGATTTAATTTCTGTCATTTAGATTCTGTTTTCCTGTTCAGTTCTGATGGTTTGTGTTTATTTTTTATTCTTGTGCCATCTCATTCACCCTCAGTAAGCACCCACAGTCAGCCCGCCACCCTCACCTGTCCCCATTCAGTTTTTGCAGACTGCTCTTTATGACAAATGAGTTCCTTTAACTATTAAGACTTGGATGCTTTTGGAAGAAAGCGTTGTCTGGTTGATTTAATCTAAGATGCGTATTAACTGGATGCACAATATTGGATTTTTGGCCAATATGCTGATATTTTAAAACTTTTTTGGCCGATAACCGATATCAGTACCGATCCCCCCCCCCCACCACCACCACACACACACACAGAGAATACATAGACTCTGCTGTGAAATTAAAATTATTCTGCATGGTCTTTGTCAGTTTCACCTGCTACCAAATGCAATTGCCAAAACGGGGGCTGTAAATTGTGTAACAATTCAACTTGGATTATGTTTAATGACAAATTTATCCATAATATTTACTCTCTCTAACACAATGGCAACACTTGAACAGTGCAAATTTGTACATTTTTACAAATCTAACCAACAGTGTGCATGATGTCATAACGTTTTGCTGGCGCTGCAGACATCCTTGTCACCGGGTTCTTATACAAAAACAGCACCTTTTATATCGGTGAGTTATTTTGATGGAATGACATAAATGTCCGATATTTAACTTTATCACTAATATCAACCGATACCGATACCATGCCGATAATATTGTGCATCCCTAGTATTAACCACACCTGCACTGCAAGATATGGAAAACAGCTTCAGCAGATTGTTAAAATAAACAAATAAATAAATAAATAAATAGGTTCACTCAGGAATATATGAAAAAAACAAAAACATAATTGGGACTCAGTTGGGTGATGTTGCCCAGCTGGTTAAATAAGCAATTGACAACAATGATGTTTTATTTATCCCTTTCACCTTTCATTTAACCTGTGTGACATAACATATGCGTGCATGTGTGCGCGCGCACGACAATTGCTAGCAGTGATGGGAGGAGGGAGCCAGGGAGAAGAGACTCTGGCTCGTTAAACGGTGACAGTTCAACAGAAATTGTTTGATAAATGTCTCTTTGGTTTCCTGCTGCTTTCCTCCGGGCGCAGTGAGTTTGGACGCGGGGTTCGGTTCCCTCGTGCCGCCTGATCAGAACCACGGAGAGCTCCGGAGCGCTGCGTCAGGACGCGTCCTCGTGTTGGAGAGCCTCAGACACATGGGAAAACATCTGAGCCGCATCAAGACAACCTGATGGTCATCTCATGCACGTTCTCTCCTCTTTTGTGTTATTCTAATTTCACGTGGAGTTTTTGGCGCATGAGACCAGAACCGAGGATTCTTTCTTTTTCTTCTCCTCTAAACACTGAGTCGGATCAGGACATGACTTTGCTAAACATTTTTGGAGGATAAAAGGCAAATAAAATGTCTGGAGAATTTATAGACACTAACGAGGAAAGCACCTTTAGGTGGGTCCTCAACTTCAGCTGCGCGTTCAACGCCACCAACTGCTCGCGCCGGGAGTCCCGCATGTGGGACTTTGGCAGAACGGATTCCGGGGGAGACGGTGCAGCTGTGGTGAGGATTACCATCTCTTTCATCTACTCCCTGGTCTGCGCGCTGGGTCTGGTCGGGAACCTCCTGGTCTTGTACCTGATGAAGTCCAAACAGGTGTGGAGGAAATCCTCCATCAACATGTTTGTGACCAGCCTGGCGGTGACGGACTTCCAGTTCGTGCTGACCCTGCCGTTCTGGGCGGTGGAGAACGCGCTGGACTTCACCTGGCCCTTCGGCAAAGCCATGTGCAAGATAGTCTCCTACGTGACAGCCATGAACATGTACGCCAGCGTGTTTTTCCTCACGGCCATGAGCGTGGCGAGGTACTGTTCCCTCGCCTCTGCGCTCAAGGGCATGCGGCGGCGCGCGCACTGCTGTTCGGCGCGCGGCGTCTCCATCCTCATCTGGTTCGCCGCGGTCTCCGCCGCCCTGCCGCACGCGGTTTTCTCCACCACCGCCTCTGTGTCCAACGAGGACCTGTGCCTGGTGAAGTTCCCTGACGCCAACGGAACCGCGCAGCTTTGGCACGGCCTCTACCACTCCCAGAAAGTGCTGCTGGGCTTTCTGGTGCCGCTGGGCGTCATCTCGGCGTGCTACCTGCTGCTGCTCCGCTTCATCACCTCCAAGAACATCAACACCTCCAGCGCCAAGCGGCGCGCCAAGGTCACCAAGTCCGTCACCATCGTGGTGCTGTCCTTTTTCCTCTGCTGGCTGCCCAACCAGGCGCTGACCGCCTGGGGCATCCTGGTCAAACTCAACGCGGTCCACTTCACCTATGAGTATTACACCATGCAGGTGTACGTGTTCCCCGTGTCCGTGTGCCTGGCGCACTCCAACAGCTGCCTGAACCCCATCCTCTACTGCCTGATGCGGCGGGAGTTCAGGAAGGCGCTGAAGAACCTCTTCTGGCGCATGACCTCCCCCTCATTGACCACCATCAGACCGATCACAGCCACCACCAAGCCGGAGATGGAAGAGGGCCACGCGCTGATGGCGAGGGGCGCAGCCCCGGCGCCCGCGGTGCTGTTCTTCCCCCCGGGGGCTGTGATCTACAACGACCTGCAGCAGAACAGCTCGGAGATTCCTGGCACGTGTTGAGCTGTGCGCTTCTTCCTCTGCACGCAGCGTCAACAAGTCCACTCTCTGGTTTTAGTTTTAGTTTGTTCACATAAACTCTCATCAAACCTGTGTACAAAACATAAACATGCTGTGAAAAAATGTTGGCCATGCCTGTTAGTGTCACTGTGACACCTGCTGTTTTTATTTATTGTTGTTGTTTTGTTCAGAGCAGGGGTCTCCAAGCTGTGGTTCAGGGGCCACATCTGTCTGTAGCTGTGACCCAAAACAACATGAAAATGAGTCATGCTATACTTTGTTTGAACTTAAAGGTAAACAGAAGTTTTGCTTATGCAGTAAGGGATTAAAATTTGATTAAATTAACAAACCAAAGACAAAATGCTGTTTGCTGATTCATTATAACTTTTAGCCACAAATTGTATGTCTTAAAATCTGAAATGCATGAAAAGAATTAAACAATCTAAATATATTTGTGGCATCAGGAACAAAAATGAAAGTGCAGTTTTGCACACAGATTGCTGCAACACGAGTCATCAAACATGATGTTATGTATAATAAACATACGTTTGTATTTGATGGAGTGATGTGTTGCACTGGAGTTTTTATCCAATGGCTAATTTGTGATTTTGTCCCACACATTCTGTATAAAAGGGCAATATTAGGTCTCAATATTACGTATATATTGATATATTATCAATATATATTGATAATATATAATATAATTATAATATATATATAATATTATTAATAATACTATATAAATATATATATATATATATATACATAATATATATTATTTATAATAATATGTTCAATATTAGGTTCCAGGTCTCTCTTGTAAATGAGTCCATGATGCTCAATGGGATTAACCTGTATAAATAAAGGTTGAATTAAGCATATTTATTGAATCATCAAATTCTTGAAGTTAATGCATGTTTTTGTCAACACGAACGTAATAAGACACATCGAACAAAATGAACTTGATTATTTCAAAGTTAAACACTTATAACATTTTCTCAACAAGAGCAAAAGGGATAAGTACAAATTTTATTAAACTTTTCGTATTAGTTAGATGTGTTTTTTTTATTCTGACATGTAAATGTCAGTAGTTTTATTTCATATTATAAGAAACTTTTTTAATTTACATTTCAACGATGAGTTGACTTTAGGCTTCGAGTCAGTTGTGGAGCTCGGAAACCAATTTTATTTTGTAGAAATTGCGGCAGAAATGTCTCTGGACTGTTCAGACAGACCTCTGGCTCAGAATGACATTTATGGTCAGGATTTAATCTGCCAGATTAAAACAAATAAATTACACCTCAAAGACAAATGTTGACCCTAAAAAAAGAGTTTGAGGATTGCAAAATGAGCTTTGTGACAAAAAATGAAAACAAATTCACATTTGTTAGTATTTAATAAAGAAGTCATTCTAATTATGAGCAGCTGCCCCGTTTTATTGCTTCCTCAACACTTTACAGATTCTCTCATTGACTTTTGAACATGAACGTTTCAGCAAACAAAGAATAAAATCAGAACCACACCACCAAAGTACAAAAACAAGAAAATACCACAAACGTTGCTTCAATTTGTTCCACTAAAGTGAAAACAATGTGGATTATGTCGGATTTATTACAATAAAATCAGTGTAATCTTTTATACACGTTTAAAATCAGTTGGATTTCTTAACTGTAGAAGTGATTTATCACACTCCTGTTTGATTTCTTCACATATTTTTGCCAAAAGGCATCGATGACCTTTAATAAACCTCAGTCAACTTCATAATCTACAAATATCAAGTTAAAGACAAACTTGATTATACATCAAGCAACCATGTTCCAATTATTATTGCTTATTTTAAGATGACTAATGAAGCACCACGATTGCTGCTTAATTTCAGAAGTGAGTGTTCTGAAACTGATTTGGCCCAAAACTTTGAATTATTTCCCCTCCAACCAGTGAGACAAAGCCAAGTGGAAACATAAATAAATGTCATTTAAGACTAATAGATGTCCTGCAGACTCAACAAGCCTTCTCTAACAAACAGCTCATGTGTTACTTAATCAGGCAGCTAAAAGCAAAAAAAAACCTTATCTTTAAACACGGAAACCAGCTAATCTGATTAGTAGTAAATATCTGGAGGGTCACAGGACCTGGCTAATAAATCTGCATAACAGGGCAATCTGTCATGTGGGTGTTGAATGCAGCACCGTCAGTCAGTCTAATGCATTTTATTTGTGGGTAAAACCCCCTTGGACGGATAAAAATGACTTAAATCAAAATCTGGATTAAAAATTTAAATGCAACTGAGTATTCCCCAGGATATTAGGCAGTATTCAACCCTGCGGTGCTGATGAGGACGCTTTGATTTGTCATGAATGTCTGGAAACAGGAAACACTGACAATTATCTGGATATTCTGCTTCACGGGGGAGGGGGGTGTTGCAGATTAATGACATTAAACCCTAAAAGTCTGTGATGAGTGGCCACAGAGAACTCAGAAGCTGCAGTTGTCAGCGTCTCAGTGGGTTTTAACAAGTTGTCAGAGGTGGAAACGAGCTTTGTGAAGAAGATCAGGAGCTCACTCACTTTTCAAAGCCTGCAGACACAGACGGTACAGTATAATGAAGGGCAATGAGGACAACTCCACTGTGATGGTAAATGAGGAGAATCCAGGCCGGTAACTCACAACAGCCACATAATTTTTCTTTCTGTCTTCTGTATAACATTTTCAGTATGAAATTAAATGGCCGTATTTTTCGGACTATAAGGAGCACTTAAAACCCTTTAAAGGGATCCATGACGAGTTGTAACAATAGACTTTATTTGAGAAATATTTATTTTAGATGTAAAAACAATACAGCAAAAATATTGTAGTCTGTTTAGCTTTTACAAGTTTCAATAAAATACTGTCACACGGACGCCGCCATGTTTTTTACGCTGCAGTGCATTCTGGGTAAATGACATATGCTAGGTTCTGTAGCTCCGTCCAGTTTTTTTTTTTAACCATATTACACTAAAATTTGCACTATTTTCAAAATTTAACCTAATATGAAATATACAGACTTTAACCTTAACCATATTGATTCATATGTGGTAAATCTTTAACAAAATTTCAAAACAAAAACTCTTCTGAACTGTAATTTATAAACCATAAATTGTATAATTTAGAACTGGCTCCAGGCGATGTCTCATCTGGCCTCTCTTCAACCTGTTAAAAAGACAAATTACATACAGTTTTTTGTATAACTTTATATAAGTTTTAGTATAATATGAGAAAAAACAGTTACCTTTGAGCTGCAGCTTGTAGCATTAATCAGAGCATCTCCCACTTTATTCGTTCTTGGCGAAGTTGTGGTGCTGCTTTATCGCTAAAAGCTCCGTAAAGGAATAACGTACTCTAGCGTATTAAAAATAAGCTTCAACCCCTCACCTTCCACTGAGCTGTCTGGTCATAAATCTTTGTGATATAGCAGGAGATGGAGTGGGAAATTTTTGCAGCCCTGCTTTGGGAATTAGCTGGAAGTTTGTTGCAGAGTTCGCTGGTCGGCTGCTTCGCTTTTCACCTTCCGCACATTTGGTCGTATTTTCGAAATACAGTTGCGCATTTTATTTTACACTTCTTGCAAAGAACCGTGCCCTTGTCAAGTTATGTCTTCCCCGTACATTGTAGGATCTGAAATGACTTTACACTAACTTTTAACGACGAAGGAGCAGGTTGAATCATGCTGTCCTCCCCTCCGTGTTAAGCAAACTCCATTCGGATAAAGGGAGCTGGCTAAATAGTTTGCTGTATGGTGGCCTACAAGGCCAAATTCTACAGTGGACACGTAATGCTCGGGAGTAGGAGCGGGGAAAAATACAAACTTAAAAGCATTTTAAAATCGATTTATGGGCCTTTAGAATCGATTCAGAATCGCCAACACTAAGAATCTAGATTCTTTAAAGAATCCTTTTTTTTTTTTTCTGACTGCACCCGCAGTGATGTTAGCCTTCCTGTGTTTACTCTCTAGATTCCAGTACAGAAGGGGCCTACAGTAACTACATCATCAACCCAGCATGCATTGTGCAGGTGAAAAAATGGCGACCTCTATGGGTGAAAAATATAACAAAGGCTATAACATTTTTTAAGTAATTATAAGTTTTTACATATCACAAACAGCAGTCTTTAAGTTAATAAGAAAATTACAACATATTTAGGTCAGCATGTTCAACTAATCCCGTTAAGTTTCCTATTAATTGTCAGTGAGCCTTATAATCAGGTGCACCTTATGTATTAATTCTGGTTGTACTTACTGACCTCGAACCAGTTTTATATGGTTATTGTGAATGAGTTGAATAAAGTTTGACTTATCTAACAGTTTTATTTTGCTTTATGCACCTTATGTATGAAAAAAGACCTGTTCGTTGATATTGCGCCTCATAATCTGGTGGGCCTTATAGTCTGAAAAATACAGTACATAGTCTACTTTATAGTGTGCTGAAGTTACTCTGATTATACTTTTGAAAGTTAAAAAAAAGCCGTCTAGACATTTTAAAAAGGATAAAGTGCTCTCCCTCTTTGTGTTTCAGAATTTCAACAACCTTCTTTAAACCAGTTAAAACTTAACGTTTAATCAATAGTGAAGCATTAATGTGTTTTACCTGAGAATTTAAGCTGCATTGCTCTCAGGAAACAAACGATGAAACAGGAACCTTGAAAGTCTTTAAAAACAAAATTAACTCCACTTGTTTTTAAACTTTAGTTTTGATTACTATCTGACAAAAAAGCCAGTTAACATACATATATATTTAAAAATTCTCATTATGCCACATGAAAATAAAGAGAACAAAAGAAAATTTGACGACTTTTAAAACACAACCTTCCAAAGGCAACAGATGTACTTTTTTATGGCACCTGACTTTTATTGTAGTCTAAACAAACAAAGATGAGCATTAAGTTAATCTTTCGGGAAATTAAGGTCTGTTTCAGTTTGCAGCTTGTTTGTTAATAATGCAGAGTTGATCTCACTGAACACAA